AAAAGCTATTACAATATTTAAATGCGAAACTTGAAATGAAAATCTGTTTATAATGTAGGTAAAATCATATAAAATACCGAATATAGGGAGGTACCATGGGGGCTACAAAACGTGGACCTGCACAGACAATTTTCTGGCATAGGCTGTAGTATTTATTACGAAATTCAAGTACCAAAGTTGAAATAGTATCGGTAAATAATGTCGCTACCCTCTGGAAGAGAATTGTTTATATTGGTCCACGATATCGTATAGCCCCCATAAAACCCTACCCCCGATATTCGGTATGATGATCATTTTAGCCACATTTTCTAGTGGAATTGTCTGAAAATCCACACTGGGAATTCTTTCTGATTACTTAACCCTCTGGAAGATAATTGTTTATATAGGTTCACGATATCGTCGGGGAGGTACCAGAAGGGGTTGTCCTATATATTTCATCTTATATTAATAAAAAATATGGCTACGTACCGATTTTGAAAGGAATTCATAAGCTGGTCATGGTTATTCAAAATGTTGACCCGCTTTGGGGGAGGTACCTGAAGAAGTGGGCCGAAATCTACCATCTTTACAACATATCTTTTGTTAATAAAAATATCCCGATGTGTGAAATTTGAAGACAATTGGATAATTATTTCATGAGTTATAATTATTATAAATTATGATTCTTTGTGGGGGAGGTATCAGAAGGAGTGGTTTGATATTACCCAACTCCTAACTCGACCTATGTTTGATAAAAATATTACGATGTGCCCAACTTGAACAAAATCGGATATTCCCCTCGAGAGTTACGTGCGCACCTGTAGATATACTCCAAATGTCCTCAAACTGAAATTTGGGCCATAGGCAAGTTTTGGTCGTATTAATTGATATATACCCTTTGTAGTTGCCATATGGCATATGGAGGGTATAAAAATATGTTTTCCCAAAATAAAAAAAAAAAAAAAAAATATATATATATATATATATATATATATATATATATATATATATATATATATATATATATATATATATATAATTTTGAGCTATCTTAGTTTTTATACCTTTACTATCGAGTCTTATTAGTTTTCAATTACCGGTGATAACAATAAATCTAGTTTTGGCTAAGGAAAATCGAATTCGGAATCACAGAATTACTGTGCTATGCCAATAATCGTGGCTCCCGTGTGCGTTCAAAATCCGCTACCATGTGAATATTTTCCAAAAACGGCTCATCTTACAACAACAAATTTGAAGAAGTTTTCAACACAATGCAGCAGCAGCTACAACAACAACGAAAACAACAAACAAAATTGCAACATGATACGTTATTTGCCAAGAATGACTGGAAACGAGAAAAAAAGACGCAGCCAAGAAAAAAGATACCGAACGTCACCGAAAATAAACTGAAATACGAAACAAAACACTTAAGACAATATACAAGTGCACAGAGAGAAAAAATGCTACCAAAATCATGACAACAGTAGAACCCTTTTGTGGATGAACAGCAGAGTTTAAAAAAGCAGGTGCTAATTTTTTGAAGAACGCCTGAGGTTCCTTCAGGGTTCGATTGAGAGAGTACGATGTAAGGATTCTACTTTCTACTCCGAAAATTCAGAATTCGACATTAGCTTAGAGTTGATCTGTGGAAATATATAAGTATTTCTCCTTGCAAAACAGGAGAACCTCCAAAGGAAACATACATCAACATCATCCCCAACTGTTGACACAGGGCAAACAATGCCAGCAACCAACATCAGCACCCAGAGCAAACTATGCACTTTACTCTTGGTTGATTTTTAGCAAATAAGGGTTTTGTTGTTACTTATTTCTTTCTTATTTTTTTAATATCAACCTGTGCTGTGCAAAACCTGATGAAGATAATGATAATATGCTGATAATAATTATCACGCCAGTGATGATGAGCAGCATCTGCGTCATCAACATCATTACGGTAAGGTTTTTTTTTTGTTTGTCACCCAAATCATTTGCAAATCTCTGAAAATCTCTTATTGCAGCAATCTTCTAAGGTAACATCCATCGCCAGTAGCAACGTCAGCAGCAGCAGCATCATCATCAGCGACATCATCATCACCATATACATTGTAGCGTACCATCCATTGTACTGTGTGTCGTTTTCGTTTTTTTTTTTTTTTTTTTGCTCTCCGTTCAAAAGGCGGTAGCAGTTTCATTCAGGCGTGTTAATCTAATGACAACTGCAAGCAGACGTGCAGATAAAGTTACAAACGCTTGTGGAATATTTTGAGCAGTGATGTCCGGCACACTAGACTAGACAATGGGAGGAGAGGTGTGGCGGTGGTATGGTATGGTATAACATGAAGTCCATATTTATAAATCGAAAGGTATTCAATTACCATCGAATCGAACCAGTTGAGGAGCTGAAGGTGTCGTTTTGGGGTATTACATATTGATGGATTGATAGACTTGAAGGTGAAACTAATAAAAAAAGCTGTAAATTCGGCCTGGCCGAACTTTGAATACCCTCCACCATTTGAAACGAATTTTTTAATTTCCTAAAAATTAAAATCCGTTAAAAATTCTGTTCAAATCAATAACGAAACTTGCAAAAAAATCGGTGAATAATGTCTTCAAAATTATCAAAATATCGAATTTCGGGATGTGCCTTTAGATGGTGTCTATACGAAGACGTGAATCTGCAAAGACAATTTTCTGCCATATGCTTAAGTATCCATTACAAACCTCAAATACCAAATTTGAAACAAGTCCGGTAAATAATGTCGCTAAAATTACCAAAATACCGAATATCGGGAGGTGCCGTTATATGGGGGGCGTGAACCCGCACTGACAATCTTCTGTCATAGGCTGTAGTATCCAATACGAACTTCAATTACCAAACTTGAAACAATTCCGGTGAACAATGTCGGTAAAATGATCAAAATACCACATATCGGGAGGTACCGTTATTGGAAGACGTGGAGCTACATGTCCCATTTTGAATACCAAAAGTCCGGCAGACATAATATAGATTTGAGTAAAATTTCATCAGCCTATTTTATTTCGTTCTAAAGCTAGAGTGATTTCCACTGTGCAAACCTTACTTTCCAAAATATTCCGGACACAATAGTCCAATGGATTGGCATTCGGAGATTTTGGTGGCCATTATGCGCTGGAAATGAAGCGAGCAACCTCATTTTGTAACCGTTCTTGGGTGGCGCGTGCTGAGTGCGATGGTGCTGAGTCCTGTTGGAATGTCCAAGGACTGCGGCCAAAATGTTTGCGTGCCCAAGGCTTTAATACACCCTCAAGAATATTGCCAAGGTCGATTAATACGAACGGAGAGCGAACATCGGCTGTTATGGCGGCTCACACCATCTGAGTTTGAGTTATGGTGGCCAACCGAAGCTGCACATTTTCAGCTGACAACGAATTTTTTCTCATCGGAGCTCTTTTGAGTCTGTTTTTTCCATTGCGGTGTAAGTTCTTGCACTTTTTGGAATTTCAATGGCTTTATCCCGAGCTCATTTTTCAACATTTGCCGAATGAAAAATTGCGATATGTTCAGCTCACGAGCCATTTTTCGGCCACTGCGACGCTGGTTTCAATCAAGTCGCTTCTTTACTTTTCGAACTATTTCTGCTGATGATGCTGTTTTCTTCCGTCCACTTCCTTGACTTTTCGAACAATTTCTACTGATGATGCTGTTTTCTTCCGTCCACTTACTTGACGTCGGGCTACGCTACCAGTATCACCATCACAGTAACGAGCGATGGTACGAGACACATACGATTTAAATGCTGGAGTGCTCTAAAGATAGCCACGTGTGGTTTTCCAGCCAAATATAAAGAAATCACACTATTATATCACACTGGACCATCAGACCTTTTGGTCCTCTCTATATAAAACACACCTTAAGGCCTTCTTTGCTAATGTATTGTTTGTAACAAGAAATCGTTGATCGTGTTTTAGAACAAATCTTTCTGCAGTCCAATCCTAAAATGGAAGTTTCACACATTTTGTCTGTCACTGTGCTTTTATCATTTGGTTGTTAATGTCCAACCAACTTGTCCCTTAATGCATATGTGTCTGTATGTCTGTCTGACAGCATGTGTGTTTACAAATGTTTGCAAGAAGTTGGAAAGACAAATAAAAATGTTGCAACCACAGCAGCGGCAGTCGTATAACCTTTGTTCTCCATCAACCGAGGATTTTGGTTTATTTATTTTTATTTGAGGCATGTCTGTTTGTATGTATGTGTGTGTGTGTGTGTGTGTGTGTTTATTTATAATGAATTTTATTGTAGACCTTTTATTCTTCGGCCTCACATCTTGCCACAATCCTTAAATAGTTTCTTCGTCTAGCCAAATGATATTGGCGGCACAAGAAATAAGTACCAACCACGTCTCGGCGATGTCAGCATGTTTGCATTTGACATCTAAACGCTGAGGCTAAAAATAGCCAACGACGGATGGAAACGACTTCCATGGCAGGAATTCTTTGTGGTTTTTTTTTTTTCAAATGAAAACGAAAGTAAAGTTGGAAAACAAATAAAAACCAAACTTCAACGTCATGGACAAATTCAAAGATTTTCGTTGATAACAATCGACATACATTCACACACTCGTTGCTTTGTAACGAATTGAATTCTTATCTTAAGTAAATAAAATGGAATAAAAATAAAATCATATTGTGTTCCAATGCCCTAAATGGTTAGGACAAGGAAGGTCTTTTTTTCTCCACGCGGCTACTACTTATCACAGGCCACTGGGTCGGGTAAACATTAAACTGAGATAAGAATTAATCATGAAACATAGAATTCGATTCCCTTGACGAGGCGCAAGTTTTCAATATTTATTAAATAAGTATTTCGAAATAAATTTAAAATCAAATAAACAGAAAACTCCAAGAATTCCCATAAAATATCCAAATAAAATGAGTTTAAAAAAAAACACATCCATATTGATGAATTTGAAACATGAACCCAAAATTCTAAATGTGAAATAAAATTTGAAAACCCCCAAAAATTAAAATGGAAAACTCACCTTAATTAGTTGAGATAGGTATTTAACAAAAAAAAAAATCCACAGGTTTTGTTTACAACTTGGAGTTTTCTTTTCTTTTGGTTAACTGCAATGAAAGAAAAAAAAAAACGAAAAACAATAAGAATTAACATAAAACTTAATTAAGAAATCTATAAAATAAAATATATTTTGAGTGAAGATGAAAGAAGTTTAAATGGATATCGAATTGTATTGATTATTCAATATATCTTAAAAAACAGGTTAAAAAATATCAGTCGCATTTGCCGACAGATGTATATCTTTAGCCAACATTTGTGAATTTAAATATATTTTGACATATATTACAATCATTCAAAATATTGACCCCTTATGTGGGAGGTTCCCGACTAGTAGAACATTTTTTTCCACCATTATGCGAATAATTGTAAATCAATATTTTAACCTTTTATGGGTGTGGTAACAGAAGGAGTGGTCCGGTAAATTCTATATTCACATCTCATCTCTGGTTGAGAAAAATATTTAGATGTACCAAGTTCGACTGATATACCACCCTTGACAATTTCGCTGACTTGTTTCGCAAGTTATGAGATATATGGCAATTGAAAATTGTGATCCTTTGTGGGGGCGGTACCAAAAGGGGTGGGCCAATATACATTATCTTCACCCCAGATCTAGCGTTAATAAAAATATTGGGAGATTTTAAAATTTGGAAAATATCCAATACTTATTTCAAATTTAATAAGCGTTTTGTTATTGGAAATTTTGATCCCTTTCTGGCGGATGTACCAGAAGGAATCGTCCGATGCATTCCATCTATACAGCACATCATGTGTCAGATGAAATATTGAGTTGTATTAAATTGGAAGACAACTGGATGCTTATTTCGAATTTTGTGAGAGATATAATTTAATCAACATTTTTTACCTTTTGTGGGGGAGTTACCAGAAGGAGTTGTCCTTTATATTCAAGCCAGAACTTGTGTTGATAAAAATGTTGGGATGTGTGGAATTTGAAGAGAATTCGATGCTTATTTTGCATTTCATCAGTGTTTTTTTTATTAAAATGCTGGACCCTTTGTGGGGCAGGTACCAGAAGGAGTGAGCCGATATATCCCATCTTCACAACAGATCTCGTGTTAGGACATATATTGATATTTGTGAAATTTGAAGAGAATCGGATGACTATTTCGTTGCCCTATGCATACTATGTTCCGCCACAGGAACTAGAACCCATTACGAACAACAACTACCAATTTTGGGACAAAAATTTTTATAGGCTGTATCCTGATTTCAACAGAGAGACGGACATCGTCGAATCGACTTAAAATTTTATGCTGATTATGGATATATATGCAGGTTGAGATAAAAAACTTCAACAAAGTCAAACGCCATAATTTTCACATTTTTTTTAAATTTTATTGAATGAAAGCAAAAAATGTCGGAAATAGCATCAAATTTTAGAATAAGTTTAGATTTGTTCGAATTGGTCACCTTTGGCACGAATTATGGCCTTCAAATGGTCAATGAAACCGTCACACTCTGCCCGAATGTTGCTCTGAGGTATTTTGGCCCATTTCCGGTGAAGCGCTTGCTTGAGGTGATCGACACTTTGATATTTTTTAGTGCCAACCTTGCTTTCCAAAATACTCCAGATACAATAGTCCAACGGATTGGTATCCGAAGATTTTTGGGGCCATTGTGCGCTGGAAATGTAGCGAGGAACCTCATTTTGTAACCATTCTTGGGTGGCGCGTGCTGAGTCCTGTTGAAATGTCCAAGGTCTGCGGCCAAAATGTTTGCATGCCCAAGGCTCTAGTACACCCTCCTGAATATATTCGCGAAAATGTTCAGTATTTATTCTGATGCCATGGTCGATTAATATGAGCGAAGATGGCCGGCGCTTGAGTTCTGGTGGCCAACCGTAGGTGTTCATATTTATCTGACCTCTGTATCAAGTAATCACGATCAACGAATATTTTCGAATCGGTGAAAACCAAATTCGGCAGTTCACCGCTTTCGGCCAAGCGAAGCAACTCTTTAGCTCTTTTAAGTCTATTTTCTTTCTGTTGCGGTGTAAGTTCTAGCACTTTTTGGAATTTCAATGGCTTTACCCCGAGCTCATTTGTCAATATTTGCCGAATGAAATATATTGCGATATGGTCAGCTCACGAGCCATTTTTCGGCCACTGCGACGCGGGTTTCGATCGAGTCACTTCTTTATTTTTCGAACCATTTCTGCTAATTTTGCTGTTTTCTTCCGTCCACTTTCTTGGCGTCGGGCTACTCTACCAGTATCACGGTAACGAGCGATGGTACGAGACACAAAAGATTCATTCACATTTAAATGCTGGAGTGCTCTAACTATAGCCACTTGTGATTTTTCAGCCAAATATAAAGAAATCACACTATCAAGCTTGAATTCCATCACGAATAACTTTTTTTCTGGAAAATTCTCACCAAAATGCTTTTGTACGCTTGTAAACAATATAATGAGCTGTTATTGGAATAATTTTAACAGCAGTCGGACGACTGGCTTAGAAATGGCAGTAGTTCGAAGTTGGTTGTAGTTTTTTTTTTCATTTCACCCTGTAATACACGGATTCCCAGGAATCCTAATCCGAAAATTTCCAAAACTGTGGAAGAGGGGAATCTTGCCCTCTCTATTGATGTTAATTTGCGATGCAAACTTTTTTACCTTTACTTTAATAATCTGTTGGATTTCCTCCGTAATTATTAAAAAAATACAATTTTGTCCCACAGTGCAATAAAATTCCGTAATAAATTTTTTTGATTTTTATTTATTAATTCGACCTTTATTTTAATTATTATATATGTATTTTATATAAGACTGAGGTAATACATTTTATTTGAATTTCGAAAATGAAAAAAAAAATAGTCGAAATTATAAAAATATTTATCTTTTATAAGAAAAACATGGTCTCATAGACCAATAGCCCCACTTCAATAATAGTTTTATAGAAGACCCCCGGGATTTTTAATAAAAACCCCATATATCTACTCATTGAATACCAATAGGTCTTTTTAACGACCAGCAGTGTTTAAACTTAACTCTGTCTCAGAAAACCCCAATCCTCTGCTGAGTACTTTTAAAAACAAATATTGCTTCTTCTTCTCCAGTTTAATTTGTCTTTTTTATTTTTGTACTTCTTCAAGACACTAATTTTTTTGTTCATTTTGTCTCGTCTTTTTTTTTTCTTTCTTGTGTTTGGTTTTTGCTGGTAGTAAGCAGACATTTACTGACCATTTTGTTATTTAAGCCAATATTTGTCTTCTTGTGCAGCTATTTTTGCAAAGTTTATTTTCTGCTGTGCGTTTCTCTTCACCGCCAACTTCTTCGACATCTTCGTCGTCTCTTGCCTCTGTGGTAAATAGAAAATCAAGTTAACGTTTTGCCTAGATACCTTTTTGAACTTCAGTCCACGTTCGAATTGTGGAATTTTTTCTTTTAAAAATAAATTTGCAATGTGAAAAAAAATGAAAAAAAAACTGAACAAGAAATGTGCAGGGAGTTGGAGCGAGAGGAAAAAGGCACACACATCGAAACGGAGACAACAATAAAATTTCTGTTTGTCAATTTGCAGACAATTAATGTTATTTTGAAAAAAAAATTGAACAAAAAAAAAATAGCGAAATGAATAAAAAACAAAGTGAGAAGAAATATGTTGTCGTAGAAATAGCTAAGAAAATAATATTGAAGATGAAGTTCAATCGGGGGCTTGGGGAAATGGGAGGTGAGAAATTTAAACATAATGTTATAGGCATTACGAGAAATATGCAATTTACAAGTTGTTAATATTTTTTTTTTAACTCTTGCCTAAATATTGGACTATGAAGACCCAGAGAGAGTATGTCATAGTTTATTTTATTATAAAACCACCTAGTAACATGGATTTCAAAAATATTGAATTATTTTGGATACAAAAATATATTTGATGAAATGATCTCAGGATGTTAATATAAGCTCATGCAGTAAAATTCGTCTGAGTTATTTCCGGACTATATGTGTATGGCATTTCTTGAGAAGCATAAATATAAAATCTGGTAAAAAAATAAATACAAAGGACCTAAAGGAATATCTGAGCCGATAATCAATCTGATATGATTATAAAGCTCTATTCGACTTTGCGAAAAGTGAGCAGAATATTATTAATGGGAGATATATCCAAAGTGAACCGATTATAACTTGTTTTCTTTTTTTAATTTTCCAGACGAAAACCCAATATATTTTACATCATCGATGTCTAAAAACCGGTCAAAGTATTTTGGTGGTGTGCTTCTAGGAAGTCCAATTTTTTGTTATTTTGGGAAAAAAATTGTTGTAATTTTCTTGAAAACTATACCGAAATAGGTTCACTAATTTTTGTTAAACACATAAAATTATCTGTAGCGTTTCTGAGAGATAATCTACCTTTTTATAAAATCCCAAAATACCCGAAACCATCTTTGTACAAAAACTAAAAATAAAAGTAAAAAATCAAAATTGGATTTTGACCTTAAATATACATTGAAGGACAACTACATAACCAAAAAAAAATGGTAATACGAAGGAAAATGAAACGCAATCTATAGCAGTATTTAAAATATAGCAGCTTTAGTATTTTGCCATGATTCCGAATATCATTTTCGAAGTCCTTCTATTCCAAGAGATCATTAAAATACCAGTTTTATTATCGCGAAAACTGCCCTGTCAACCCAATCCATTGGTTTTTTTTTTCAAAATCGTAGCATATGACGCCCAAGGTGAGCTTAGTAGGATTTTTTTCAGATTGTAATACGAGATTTTTAATCATATTAATTTGGAAAAATAACTCATCTTCAAAATGGCGCCCAACAACGTACCCAATTTTTTAAGGTAATTGTTTTTTAAGGCAACATTGTTCGGTATTTTTTATTGCCGAATAAAGCGCACCATATTTCACAAATATTTATTAATTTATCAATTTTATCGGTTCTCTTCTTCTGGCAACACACTCACAAAAGAGTTTCAGTTTTGAATATCCATAACGCTCATAAAATGCGAAATATGCATTCGATTCATTCTAAACTTCATGCTTTTCAAATAGTTCTACTAAGACAAGATCTGCTGGGTTGACGTGATACATCGGCCCACTCCTTCCGCTACCTCTCCCACAAAGAGTCACAATTTTCAATACTTTTATCTCTTATAACTTTTAAATAAATATATATTTATTTCAATCACAAATCAGATTCATCGGCAAATTCCTTCTGTTCCTCAGCCACAAAATATTAGTATATTGATTAATTTTGATATTTATAAAAAAGTAAGATGTGCAAAAATTTAAAAAGAAAATCGATTTTTTCCAATTATACGTCAATATTGGCATAAAGTCAATTTTTTTAATATATATATTTTTTTTTTTAAATTTTCCATATCCCATTATTTTTATCAATATTGGATGTTGTGTGAAAATGGAATACTTTGGTCCACTATGTCTGGTACTTCACGAACATTTCATTATTAAAAAAACCGGGCACGTTATTATATTTGTATCAGACTTATATCAAATTTAATAGGGACAATATTATCTCACTCCGCCTCGGAACCTCAACAGCTTGAGTAATACGAACATTGGCTGAGGGTATACATCTCTCGGCAAAACCGACCTACACTTTTTAACTTTTCTAATATTTTTAATAATTATTATTATTATTATTATACCCTACAACACTATGTGTTGGGGGTATTATAAGTTTGATTGGGCCAGAATTTATGTAACACCTCGAAATATTGATTTCCCATATAGGAAAGTATATATGGATCTTCCTAGCTCGTCGAGCTGAGTCGATCTAGCTATGTATGTCCGTCCGTCCGTCTGTCCGTCTGTCCGTCTGTCCATGTTAATTTGTAATCACTCTACAGGTCGCAATTACGGTCCGATCTTCACGAAATTTAGAATGTAGGTGGGGCTTGGACCAGAATAGAACCCTATTGATTTTGGAGATGATCGCCAAATGTTTAGGGGTTGAAATGGACCAAATACTGAAAAATGTCGGATTTTGCAGAAGCTATACAGGTCGCAATTATAGACCAATCGACGCGGAATTTCGCATGTAGTTGGAGTTTAGGGAGGGAAAGAAGCCTACCATATTGGGTGGTCATCGGATAATATTTAGCGGGTAAAATAGACCATATCTTTTGTATTGAAAAAATTCAAAATTTTTCATCAAACCGCGAATATTTTAAATCCCGGCGAAATCATAAAGCCATGACAAGGTTACTTCTGATCTTTACATTGATGTTAACATCCAACAAATCGGATATATAGCAAAATATGTGCGATATATATGTCTATCAAAGAAGATATGCTTGAAAGATCTCTTATATGTCGAGAACGGCTGAACTGATTTCGACAGTTCTCATTAATTCAGAATGGCCTCTTGGCAGGAAAGAAAAAACGTCTAAAAAATCGCATAAAAATATCTCTCTAAAGATGAAAATATTGATTTTCTAAAATTTTCTCATATTTTTTTAATTTTGTCATATTTTTGGCATATTTTCATTTTGAATTAAATATTTGGTAATATTTCTACAGCTTACAAAACAAAGTAGTTAGGATATCAGGATATCATATACAGAACGCATTTATGGCCCGATCCTTACGAAATTTCGCATGGGGATAAGATGAGGGTCAGAATAGAAGCCTACTCTTTTTGGAGATGATCGCCATATATTTAGGGGTTGAAATGGACCAAAAAACTGCAAAATTGTCGGCAGGTCGTAATTATCGCCCGATCCTCACGCACATTTGAATGGGGGTTATCGGACATTGCAAAAGCCAAGCAGTTTCTAATGGCCATCCAAAAATATTCAATGTGTGAAATAGTTTGCCAACTTTTGTAGACAAAATACGAAAATGTCCATTCCAGAGACCTTTTGGAGAATTCACAAATACAGGAAAGACGCACTTCTGACTATTTCGTTGAAGAATATAGTCAAATGTCTGTATCTCATATAGATGCGTTTCAGTCAAAAACCAATAATAAATGTTAATCTTTTGCCACTTCTGTCTTCACGTCTTTGGGAAATATTGGTTCCAGATCTAGGAAGACCATTTACGTGCAACATCTACCATTAAATTGGAAATGAGCAAATTAGTTTAAGTTGCTATTATTCGAAAATTAGAGAACGAAACCTGATGGTTTTCTTTTATTATTTGTCACAATATCTTGTGGAATTCTTTCGAGTACTTCGCCTATATAAACTGTATGGTTTATTATAGTGTTGTAGGGTATTCAACGGTCGGCCCCGCTCGACTGTAGCCTTTGCTTACTTGTTTTTTTTTTTTTCAAAATGTATTTTTTTATCGATGTTATAACAGTTTTGTATATTTATTATAACAGTTTCTCAAAATTGTCTTTCAAAAACTCAAACAGTTTATTTTGAAATTCTTTAAACTGTCAAAAGGAAAATCAGGAAAAAAGTTCGAAGTCCCATAACGTTTTTTCGAAATTCAAAAAATGATCATGGTCTTTATAAAAAAATAAACTGAAATTATATAAATAAATGATTTTTATGCTAAATTGTAAAAAAATCATAGATGAGTAAAAACATAACTATTTTCTAGCCTATTTGGTATGAACATGTTATTAACTTCTTGGGAAAATTCAGTCAAAAACCATTTTGTCAATTTCACTTTTTTAACATTTGTTTTTTTTTTAATTTTAAATATCAGAAATTATGAAAAATAATCAAAATAACTCTAAATTGTTAAAAAAAAAAAAATAATAGATAATCTTCATAAAAATATTGCCAATGCTGAAGGAAAATGTAAATGCAATTTTCAAAAAAATAAAATTCTTTAAAATTCTGTTAAAATCTTAAAAATACCGAATGTAGCCGTATGTATACGACAACGTGGACCTGCACAGGCAACTTTTGTTATAAGCCATTACAACATTCAAATGCGAAACATGAAAAAAAAAATCGGGGAATAATGTAGCTAAAATCATCAAAATACCAAATATCGGGAGATACCATTAAATGCGGGCTATACGAATGCGTGAACCTGCACAGGCAATTTTCTGTCATGGGCTGTAGTATTCATTACGAACTTCAAATACCAAATTTGAAACAATTCCGGTGAATAATGTCGCTTAAATCACCAAAATACCGAAAATAGAGTCTACTTATTACCTGGGCCTGCAGACATAATATACATTTAAGTAAAATTTTATCAAGAGTGATTTCCGCAGACGGACGGACATCGCTAAATTGACAGAATTGTTTGCTGATCATAAATGGGGTCTAAAATGTATGTTTCAAGGTGTTACAAACGCAATAACAAACTTTATATACCCTCCATGGTGGAGGGTAAAATTGATATGATAAAACTCCCTCTTTTTCCGAAAGTTGCAGAATTTTGGCCAGGAAATCCGATTCTAATTCTATGTTGGGCGATTCTCTAACCGATAAAAATCGGTAACTTTGAAATCCAAAATTTTAATATTAAAAATAATTCCGCGTTGACAACATTGGAATCTATCGGTAGATCTTAGCGACTTCTTTGATTTCTTCACTAACTTACCGATAAATTTCCGAAATTATAAGCATTTCAATTTTACTGACTATAGTAGGTAACTTAAAAATGAGTTAAAGAAAAACGCCCTATGCTGAATATAAAATTCTATTTAAATAGTTACAATAGTTAACAAAATAAGTGTAACTAATAAAATTATAAAAACGTATATTTTTTATGTATTACATTTTTTTATTCGCCCCCAAATAAGCTGTTTTTTCGGGTTTATGTTTTATCCCAAAAAATATTAAGCTATTAGAGTTCTATTTTTCTTAGCGAAAAGTTTTATTTTTGAATATTTTACTTAAAAATGTATGATATTACCAGAGGATTTTAAATAATCTAAAAAAGTTGTATTATGTCTGAGTGCTACTAACTTCCATTAAAAACCAAAAAAGAAAAACAAATTTAAATAATTACCTTTATTTTCACTTGGAATCCAACATTAATTCAAGTACAGCTGATTATTGTTTAAATCCCGCAGAAAAAAAAACACACACAAACAGACCAACAACACAGTGCAGAAAAAATAAGCCACAGATTACAACAACAATGATAAAATTTTACGCCAAAACAACAATTGCAATCACTTCACTCACAAGAAGAAATTTCTAAAAACATAAATTATAAATTTTCACAAAAAGCCACAAAAAAATCATATTCGACGAAGATCACATCAAAATTGGCGAAAAAAGTGAAAATATTAACTTAGCACATTGTTGTGGTGGTGGTGGTGGTGTTGGTTTTTGTTAATTTTTTTGTATTTTTGCTGTTTCACTTTACCAGCATTTCTTGGTTATATTGTATTTCGTACTTCTTTTTTTTTTCAATTAAAATTTAAAAGATATTTTCGAACTTCAAAAACAATGCTCACAGCAGCTACGGTCGGTCGTTTGATGGTATTGGTGAGTGTTAATAAAACCAAACAGAATGATCGTCGTAAGCGTAATGTGAGAGGGAGAGATCCACAAAAAAAAATCCAAAACATTAACAACAAAAAAACGGCAATTTATGGCATTTAGAGAGTTTGGAATCAGACGCACACACACAGGTATTTGTTTTTTCGAAAATATATATATTTTTTTCAATTTTTGTTAATTTTTTTCTCTCTCACGTTAACTTCTGGCTTTATTTCAATGCCTAAACACTGTCATCAATATTAAAACAGAATTCACTTCAAAATAATAATGACGATGACAAAACTTGAAATCATAATAATTTTGAAGACGGGCGTGGGGGGAATGCGGGTTGGATAAATGCCGCACAGTCAAAGCCAGGTTGGTTGGTTCTTGATTGTTTGGTGTTGAATTGGGTGAAAAGAAGAGGGCGCGCGAGGGGGATTCCGTGACCGTTGTTCAACGTTACGGCGCGGCGAAACAGCAACCCAGCGAAAATTGGTAACAAAACGAATTCGAACTCACACACAAATCGAACAAACAATCGTTCGATAGGTTTTGTTTTTTTTTATTTTATTTTTGTTTAATGCTAACTGTTGTTAAAACAAAAAGCAAAGCAACAACAATACGTTTACGAATTTTCGTTTAGTTTTACAGAAACACAAACACACACACTCTCTTGGGCATGCAACGGCAATAATTCACATTTTGGTTTTCGTCAAAATTCCACATCAACAAAAGTAAACTATTGGAATTCGTTGTAAAAAATATTTATTTCAAATATAATTTATTTTCCATACCATTTATTTTTCTTTATTTTTTCATTTAATTATTTTTTTTATTTTCTGTTTTCATTCATTTTTTGCTTTTCTTTTTGGGGTTTCTTATTTTTTTGTTTTCACTTTGTATTTTTATTTAATTTTAATATATTTTTTACATTTCTTTTCAATGCATAAAATTAATGTTATTTATTATTTTCTGTTTTTATTATTATTATTATTATATTTTGGTTAGTTGCGTTTCACGCGCTTACAACAACCACAAAGTACGACTCTTAAAATACAACTAATATGGCAATATTTCGAATATATTGTTGATCATTACTTGTCTTGCCTTGTGCAGTCAATTCTCACTGTAGATATCTCAGTATATAGATGTGTGTGTGCCAAAAACAACATCGAAACAACAACACCAAATGTATCTATGTGAAAAGTATCTACGTTAAAGCAACATGCGTTTACCATTAACACTCATACTCGCACACAAAAAACACAACCGGTGCTCTCTCACAGATACAACTTCAAACTCTCTTGGTGTGATTTTTGCTCACGATTTCTTCCTCTCTTTCTCGTCCGGTTTGTTTTCTACTTGTTGCCTGAGCATGGCGTATGTTCAGTGTGAAGTTAACTGAATTCACTGAGATCGACAGTGTTGCCAGAGATCGAAACACATACGGCCTTTTAAAGGTCATTAAGGCAAAATAAAGGGTAGTTGGGTATTGATCGGCAAATGGTGATTTTGAATGAAAAGCAAATATTTAGGAAATAATTGTAATTTTATTTATATAATTGTAATTAAATACAGCAAGGCTAGAGTTATGCTTTGACATGTCTACACTTTTGTTTTCTATTTGTGAAATATTGTCAAACACAATGACAGCTGATACACTCTGCCTTTTCTTTTCTTCTACATTTTGTTAATTGTTTTGAAGCATACAATTTTGACGTCTGTCGAAAGTAATTAGTGAAAAAGAAGTTGCAAATTGAAAATATATTCAAAAGAGTAGTGAAATAACTGTCCGTTGAAGAATCAACGCCCAGACGAAACGGCTGAAGCTAATTTTGGTAAGTGGGCGTGTGATAAGGCTGGGTTTTAGGAAATTCGTACTAAAAGGCTACGAAAAGTACTAAACTGTACCAAAAATTGAATACTTTTTATTGGACAAACGAAATCAGCTGAAATTCTGAAATTTGGAATGAAAGTCACTGATGGAGTACAGGCTATATCTTCAAAGGGTTTTCGGAAATTCGAACCTTAAGGTTACGAAAAGTTCTGAAATGGTACAAAACTTTAAAAATGGTAGCATACAGGGTGAGATGAAAAAACTGCAACCAACTTCAGACTAAAATTATTCCAGTGACAGCTTCATTGTTTATATTGTTTACAAGCGTACAAAAGCATATTTTCCAGAAAAAATGTTATTCGTGACGGAGTTCAAGCGTGATAGTGTGATTTCTTTATATTTGGCTGGAAAATCCCAAGTGGCTATCGTTAGAGCACTCCGGAATTTAAATGTGAATAAATCTTTTGGGTCTCATACCATAGCTCATTAGCGCAGTCCGACGTCAAGGAAGTGGACGGAAGAAATGGTTCGAAAAGTAAAGAACCGATTTGATCGAAACCCGCGTGGCAGTGGCCGAAAAATGGCTCGTGAGCTGAACATATGGCAATATTCCATTCGCTTGGCTGAAAGTGGTGAACTGCCGAATTTGGTTTTCTTCGATGAGAAAACATTCGTTGTCCAGCAGTTTGTAGACAAACAAAATGATCGTGTTTACTTGCCAAAGAGGTCAGCTGAAAATGTGCACCTTCGGTTGGCCATTGGAACTCAAGCGCCGGCCATGGTGATGGTGTGGGCCGCCATAACAGCCGATTGTCGCTCTCCGCTCGTATTAATCGACCGTGGTATCAGAATAAATGCCGAATATTATCGTGAAAATATTCTAGAGACTCAACACCATCGCACTCGCTTCATTTTCAGCGCACAATGGCCACCAAAATGTCCGGATAGCAATCCGGTCTGGAGTATTTTGGAAAACAGGGTTGACACTAAAAAATACCAAAGTGTCGATCACCTCAAGCAAGCACTTCGCCGGGAGTGGGCCAAAATACCGCGGGGCAACATTTGGGCAATGTGTGACGGTTTAATTGGCCGTTTGGAGGCCATAATTCGTTTCAAAGATGACCAATTCGAACAAATCTAAACTTATTCTAAAATTTGATGCTATTTCCGACTTTTTTTGCTTTCATTCAATAAAGTTAAAAAAATGTAAAAATGAATGCAGTTTTTTTTATTTCACCCTGTATAGTACTTATGGTATCTGTGTTTGAAATTTGACGGTGGTTTGGAAGTGCGTAATTTATTTGTACGAAAAGTACAAATTTGTATTGCGTGAAGGGATTGGGTTGGAATCCTCAAATTTGATATTGAGGTCTCTGTCAATGTGGAGATTTAGAGATTTTGGTATTGCCTGAAGGGATAGAGCTGGAATCCCGATATTTGACATTGATGTCTCTGTTGGTATCTGGAATTGAGTAATAAATGTGTTTTCGGAAATGTGTACCATAATTGTACGAAACGTACTATAATTGCGCGAAAGTACTCAATAGTACCAGCTTTGGTATTGGGTGAAGGGATAGAGCTAAAACCCTGAAATTTGGTATAGATGTCACTGTTGGTGTTGGTGGTGAATCCTAGATTTTCATGAAAATGCTACTAAATTTGGTATTGCGTGAAGGGATAGAGCTGGAATCCCGAAATTTGATATGGATGTTACTGTTGACGTCTGTGGTTGAGAGAAGGAGCTTGTTTTGGATATGCGTTCTATAATTGTACATGTATTTTATTGAAGGGATGGTATCAATATTTGTTTGGTGTTCTGAATTGAGGACTATTTACAAGTATTTAAATAATGCTAAAAATGGGCTAAATTTCGCTTTTCGAATGCCATTCAAAATTCCCGGTATTTTGGGAATTTGTGAACATAAAGACAGTTGAGTTATATTATAACTGAACGTCAGGTGTTCAAATTCTCTCCCAGTCAAGGTGTTGAACTCTCACATTCTCCGAGAGTATTATATTAATGAATGTATGTGTGTAATATCTCTCGCTCTCTCGGTTGTACTCTCAGATACCTGTTGTATCTTTTGAAAATGTATCTATGTGTCATTGGTAATCGATTTCCTTTTCAGTTTGCTCTTCTAGTCGCACCCCAACCAAAGGTATTGATCCGTACAAAAAAAAAAAACAAACGATCACTTCATTCATTCACGTATTCGGTAGCGATGTTGCCAGATTCCGTGAATAATTTTGGGAATTTTGTTGCTTTATTTGAAGTGGTCACAATGCAATTAATTTTTATTGGACAGCAAATGTAATTAATAATGTTTTTGAGGAGGAAAGATGGAGATATATAAGACGTTTTTTTCTGACTTAAGTAATCGGTTGAGTTTTTCCCAAAAGAAAAGTTTTGCATTATTTCAATTTTGGTCCAAAATTATTTTTTATCCCTACCTTACGTCTTGAACATCTAACCTAATTCGAAAAACTTTAATTCAGAGACTGAAAAGTCTGTACGGAGAGAAGTGCATTTTTATTCTCCTTTAAAGCAAAGAAGCAAATTTTGAACGTCCTATACTCTGTCGGACGCCCCCTACTTCCCGCCTTATTAAAAACTCGAAAACTTATATATCCAAGTGGCATCCCTTTACTAATTCCAATGCGTCATCTGGCACACAATCATCTGCCTTGCTGTTGGGCCGTGCATAGTGCGTCTGTGTGTGGGTTCTGAGTAACTTCATTTAATTTTTTTACACTTGTCCCGATCTCTTTGGTTTTCTGACCTTTTCTCTGTTTTGTTTTGTTTGTTTTTTATTGTTTCTTTCATTGTTATTGTTGGCGTTGTTGGGTGACGGTGTTTATCTTAGTTTGGTTTCTTTTGTTGGTGAATCGTTAAAGAAACAGTCAAACAAAAGACGCATCAATAGGCCCCACCAACTCACCGCTCATTCACTTGTGGAGAATGCATTTTGCAGTTGCTCGCGTCTGTTGTATTCCAGAGAAGAGAGCCGATTTTGTGAATTCAAAAACAGTGGTTTCATTGAAAATGTGCGGAATATAAAAAGAAATTAAAAGAAAACTAGTTAGGACGTTTTGGCGAAGGATGAAAACGCCCAAACTATTTCCGTTAATTTAAATATATTCTGACTTCATATAATTTTTTACAAATATTGGGAGGTCGAAAATTTAAAGAAAATCGGATACTCTTTAAAATTTTGACAATTTGGTGGAGAAGGATTGAGTTGACATTTCTCGTTTTTAACATTAATGATATGGTTGATAGACATTTTGAGAAATACAAAGTCTGAAAAAATCTCTGAGTTTTTACGAAAGTTTTTCCCTTTGTAAGGAGAATTGAGTCACAAATTCCCATATTCACACTAGACCTAAGGTAGGCGGAATTATCGCGTTTTACGAAGTTAAAGGCAACGTCGGATAATTACTTTTGTTTTATGAGAGTTATAATTCTTCAGAAGTACATCTGGGATCTAAAGCCGTTATTTCTATGAGGATTAATAATAACGTTATTTAAATATGGACAATTCGGGATGTGCAAATCATTCATGAAAAATACTTCAAAAAAAAGATTACGTGCTCGAAAATACGGAGTATGTGCCTGAAAATTCGTCAAATATATTTATTTGAAAGTTTACGATTTTGAGTCTAAAAAACCTTCAAAAAATGTAAGAAAAATTCGCGAAAACGGATTTGAGAACAATTCGAAAATATTCTTAAGAAACAGGATTAAGGCTCAAAAAGTAAAATCCCTTAGGGAAATTCTTAAAAATACTTAAAATTTTGACCCTTTGTGGGGGAGGTACCAGAAGGAGCGAATCGATATATCCCATCTTCACAGCAGATCTTGTGTTAGTAGAAATAATAGGATGTGTGAAATATGAAGAGAACCGGATGCTTATTTCGGATTTAATAATCGTCTTGCTTATTCGAAACATTGACCCTTTGTTGGGGAGGTACCAGAAGAAATGGTCCGATCTGTACCATCTTTATAACAGATCTTGTATTGATAAAAATATTGTGATATTCCAAGTCTGAATTGTATCGGATGTTAATTTCACGTTTTATTTATGGATACTCAAAATTTTGACCCTCTGTGGGAGAGGAACCAGAAGGAATGGTCCGATCTGCACCATATTTATAAAAGATATTGTGTTAGCGGAAATATTGTGATGTACCAAGTCTGAATCGTCCATCCGTTGAAGAAATATTTGAGTAATGATCTCTTCCCT